GCAACGTGAAACAGATCAGCAGCAACGTGAAACAGATCAGCAGCAACATGATGTGATTTTTCACAGTGATTATTCTGGTTAGAGATGGATGGAGTCTAACAGCCTCAGGGTAGAAGCTGTTCCTCAGTCTAGTGGTTCTACACTTAATGCTCCTCAACCTCCTTCCTGAGGGAAGTTCATTAACTAAATCAGTTATCAGTTCATTAACTAACAGGGATTTAGAGGAAACAGATCTGATGTTCAATAATCTACATTTAATGATTTTATGACTTTGCTCTGGTAAAGTAACTGTGATTATTTTAATAAGATTTTTATGGTTTATATTTTTAGAGCTGATTTTTGGTTTATTTAATTTGAGCCGTGGGCGAGTTGACACTGTTTCAATGTGGGTGTGGGTGGGTAACAGAGGAGAAGCAGCAGAGAGGTGTGGAGGACTACAACTCTGCTTCCTGGACTGGACCCTGGGTTGTCAATAATTTGGGGGATCAACAAAATCAGCCATATTTCTAGAAAGAAGAGCGGCTCCGTCCAAAGTGGGATGGATGCCATCTCTCCGCATCAGACCAGGTTTTCCCCAGAAAGAACTCCAGTTATCTATGTAGCCCACGTCGTTGTCAGAACATCACCTGGACACCCAGCGGTTAAACGACGACATACGGCTAAACATGTCATCGCTGGTCAGGTTGGGGAGGGGGCCGGAGAAAACTACGGAGTCCCACATGGTTTTAGTGAAGTTATGAAATCATTATCATCACATCTGGTTGAACAGGACTGGTCCAAACATCCAGGATGAGGGTCCGGGGATTGTGAACCTTGAACCAAGACATGAGCCATCAGAACTAAGTTCTGTTTGTTGACCTCCAGATTTAGAATTACAGAAGACAGAGTCGAGCAGAAAAAACTACAAACTACTTGAAGTACAGAAGAACCTGACTTCTGCTACAGAACCAGATGAAGCAGGGATGTCAGCGCTGACCCGGTCAGGCCCTGTCTGAGTTCTGACTGTGAGCAGCGTGGGCGGAGCTTCTGAGTGAAGCCAGATGTGGAGGAAAGACGAGAGGTGTTCAAAGTGGAAACAGACGGCAGTGAGAGGAAAAGTTTCTTGCTGCTGACGAGGGTCCAAACCCTGAAGACACCACAACATTTGTTCTGATGGGAAATCTTTCCTGCGTCTGCTGAGTCATCCTGTAAGAATATGAAACACACATGCTGAGTCATGTTTCAACTACGCCGCTAAAGACCGAGTAATCTAGCTGTAATTTCACTGTGTTTCCTTTTAATTATCATTTTGTTATCAATTGTAAAAAATAAAAAAAAACTTAAGTTCGTATGCATCATTTGTGAATGTCTATTGTTGTCATTGTTGTCATCTTTCTTTGTTAAATCAGGTCTCTGTTGTAAATGAGTCCTCGAGGCTCAATGGGACTAACCTGTAGAAATAAAGGTTGAATGAATTAAAAAAAGACAGAGTACTGTGTACACATCTATAGTACAGAGTTACTGTACTTAAACAGTAACCCTGTAGAGTTAAATGTCCTCCTGAACTGAGTCCAGATCTTAACTACCCATTTATTTATTTAACCAGGCACCTCCTTCTGACATCACAGATCTTTTGAAGGGAGGTCTGGACCTGAAGCAGACTAACATGCATGTTTTTGATCTGTGGGAGGAAACCGGAGTACCCGGAGAAAACCCACGCAGCACCGAGAGAACATGCAAACTCCACACAGAAAGACCCCAGGTCCGACTGGGGATTGAACCCAGGACCTTCTTGCTGTGAGGCAACAGCCCTAACCACTGAGCTATCGTGCCGCCAATGCTCTAACCCAGATGACAATTGGGTTAGAAGTATAGGGTGATAGTGATTGTTTGAAAGGCAGCTGAAAGCAGTCAAGCAGAAAGAGAGCAGGATCTAATTGAGGCCCCTTCCAAAGCGATCCAACTGGGAGAAGAGTTGTCCTTACCCAACCAGAATAGAAGAGCTCTGATATTAGCTGCCCAATTATAGTGCATGAAGTTAGGAAGTGACATGCCTCCAAGTCTGCGGAGCAGATGTAAGACCCTCTTGGCAATCCTTGGATGCCTTTTATTCCTAACAAATGCTGATATCTGTCTGTTCAGATTGGTAAAGAATGATTTAGTAACTGAAGATCAACGCATTTGTGCTTACCCTAGAGAACACAATCCCGACCATCTGGGCTCCCATCTGCCCACACAAAGGATAAATCTCTTGTCCTTGACCTCTCTAAGGGATTTTAAACAACTGTCAAGTTCAATAGAAAGATGAATACAGACATGTTCCTGTTTTTAGTATCTTACACCGTTTTATAATGTAGTGTGTTGTTTTTATTTTGTTTTATATCACTTCTTTTATATACTTGTCATTTTATATGCTTTCATGTGAATGTTTATCGTTGTGTGTACCTCATCTGTGTTTTTGTTTCGAACAGGTCTCTCTGGAAAATATGTCTTCATGACTCAGTGAGACTAACCCGTAGAAATAAAGACTGAATTGAATTGAATATGACTTAATAAAAACTGCAAACATTGCCATAATTGTCAAACGTGCACCTAAAAAACACTTCCATATTAGGGTGCGCACTATAGTCCAGAATTTAAGATAATCAGTTCAGAGCATTAATGCTGTGCAGTCGCCTCCAATACAAATAAAATGGCCACCAAAGGACCTAACAGCCAAATATGAAGTCAAACATAAGCTTGAGAAGAATGCTGGTTGAGGGAGGTCGATCCTACGATTTATTTTGATCCTCACCGCCCCTTGCTGAAATGATATTCGTCTTGATGTATTGTGTTGCTTTATCCAGGTCGAGAAACACCTTGCCTATCCCTCCATGCATGATGCGAAGCCGTGCAAGAAAAAGAAGACTGTAAAGAATGTCCTCTGTCTGCTCATGCCTTAGCTACACTTGGGATGTAATCCGCTGTGATGATAATCGATGGTTCGTTAAAGTGAAGCGGGCAACAACTGTGTGCAGTTCTGCCACGGTATCGTGCAGAACTTCCATTTCGTCTGACCTGTTAGAGAGCCTGTCCTCAGCACATGGTCAGTTTCTGCTCTGAGGGTTGTGATGCTGTTAACGACCTCCGAGCTCACCGCCTGGAGCTCGCCCTTATATTAAACTCCTCTGACAGGGCAGCCTTCATCTCCATCGTTGAAACTTCAGTTTTTATTGAAGCCCAAATGTCTGACTTCAGGGCTGACACGTCAGTCTCTCTGGAGCCCGGCAAGGGTGGAGTCCATTCTCCCATTCCAGAAGAACCCTGGTCCGAGGTCGTGTTAGGCCCAGCGGCCAAACAGCCCGCAGCCTTCGGAGGTCATATTGCAGTTCTCTGTATTCAATCCTGCAACAATGCCGACTTCCGAGGACTCCAACACAGAGGCAGCAAGAGTATTCTTCTGAAAGACGTTCTTATGGGAGGCTGACAAAGTGAAGATTCAACTAGTCTGCTGGCTTCTTTCCTTAGATACACAACTTTAACTAAATGACATTTGTATGTATGTGAATGTTTCTGTTCAGTGCCCTGAGATTACTTCTGTTATGATTTGTTATATATACATACATATAAATAATCTAAATAATATATAAACTATATAAATAAACTGAATTGAATTGAAAGGCAATTTTAAACAGTGCCGATGGGAGCCCAGAAAAAAACGTGACTTACAGTGCTGTCACCATTTTGAATCCCTCTAAATGATAGTTTGTGGTTTAGACGGTAGTTTGTTGGTTAGATGGTTGAAGAAAATAAAGTTCACAGTAGACTCTTGTGTCTCCAGGCAGGGATGATCCGGATGGGTGAAGACGAGTTTTTCATTGAACCCTTGGATTGGTGGAAGCCAGGAGAAGAAGAGGAGGATGGAGAAAGAGGACAAAAGCACATCATTTATCGCTCCTCAGCAATCATCAAGAATCAAGCAGTTATCAATCAAAGTGAAGGTGCCAATCAAAGCCCAGATGACTTTATCCGAGGTAAGAAAAACAAAGACAGAACTGGTGTGAGAAAACTTTATCTGTTTGTGTTGCACCGAGGTCACCTGGGGTCACCTGAGGTCAACTGAGTTCACCTGAGGTCAACGGAGGCCACCTGTCACGTTTTGATTGGATCATTTAATCTGGATGTTTCTGATTATACACATCTTGTTGTAGAATAGTTCTGTTTGGACATCTCTGATTTTCATTCAAACATTATTTCTATAGGTTAATGCCATTGAGTCTCGCGGACTCATTTACAAGAGAGACATGATTTAAACAAAGAGCGATGACAACAATGGACAACAAAAACAAAAATAGACAATTATAAAGGATGCATACAAATTTAAAGTATTTTTTTAACAAGCAAAGATAAAATGGTAATTAAAAGGAAAAGTAGCAAAAAAAACATCTAGGTTGTAGGGTGGTGTAGAAAACTAAAAACTGTCCTGATTGGACAGTAGACATTGGACAGTCCAATCAGAACATGTCCTCATTGGACATGTCCTGGTCAGATGGTCCTGGTTGGATGTGACTGTTGTAAGCAAATCATGAAATCCAAACAATAAACAGCTGCAAAAAGTGAATTACAATCTGACAGAATTACTGCTGCTGGTTCCATTGGAGGAAAGAATCATGAAGGAAACTATGGAATCTGTCCAGGAAACTTGTCTGAGCTGACCGAGCTTTACAGCACGCGCACACACACACACACACACACACACACACACAGAGAGAGAGAGTGCTGAGCCAGCAGCAACGTGGCAGTCTGGACCTCACAGCTCTGCAGGATCAGAGCTCAGTGTTGACATGTCAGCTGCTGAGGCTCTGTCTTCAGATCAGCCTTGTTCCTGTGATCACTGAAGGTCCACAGATCACACAGACACGTGTCAGACATCCAGATGGGTGGGACTGATGATATAAAACATCTGAACCAGTTGTTTGACAGAACACTTCCATCAGAACCAACATGTGGAGCTCCTCAGCTCCACACACTGAGGTCCAGGTCTACAACCTTGCACAATTCTGCCCTATGGAATAAAAAAACATGAAATCATTCAAAAACAAAAAGTCTGGAGACATGTCAATATCTTCTTCTCTGGAGACATGTCGGTGTCTTTTTCTCTGGCGACATGTCGGTGTCTCCTTCTTTGTAGACATATCAGTATCTTCTACACTGAAGACATGTAAGTGTCTTCTTCGCTGGAGGCATGTCTTTGACTTCTCTGGAGACATGTCAGTGTCTTCTCTGGAGGCATGTCTGTGTCTTCTCTGGAGACATGTCAGTGTCTTCTCTGGAGGCATGTCTGTGTCTTCTCTGGAGACATGTC